TTACAAGAGTCCTTGTAATGACCAGTTTGACCACAGTGAGTACACAGCTAATTATCAGCCACAGTTACATACTTGCTATGAACACTAGCCTCGAATTATCGGATGAAAAATGAGAAGCTGCTCTCATCCAATTGGCCGCCCAAATGCAGCGAATCGAAAGATACTATAATCGAAGAACCAAGCTTCGCCATTTTAAACTCGGGGACTTAGTGCTAAGGAAAGTCACCCTTAGTACCTGAAATCCAATCGAAGGAAAACTAGGACCCAACTGGGAAGGACCGTATTAGGTTCTCGAAAACGTCGGAAAAGGATCATACAAGCTCGGTATTGTAAACGGAAAACAACTATCAAGCAATTAGAATGTGTCGCACCTAAAGCAATACTACTTTCTTGCTTGAACCAAGGTTTTCTCCTTTATACTTTGAAGTTGGTTTTCGGCCGATGATAATTGGGCTCGAGCAGATTCTTTCTCTGCAGCAAAGCGATCCATACCTTCTTTCCACTTCAAAGACTCTGCTTTTATTTCATCGACCTCCTCACGGAGTTTCCCGATCATCTCAATTTTCTGCTGCAGCTGTGAGACCAAAAAATTAGCCATCGTTCCGGTATCGAGCCCATAGGCTTTTAAAAGTATCATTAGCTTCTCGGACAGATCGGACTGATCTTGGTAAGCCTTGGCCAACTCAGCTCGGAGGTCTTTTATTTCCTCTCCCCTTTGCCCTAAAAGGAGCTTAAGGGAGTTCCTCTCCTCTGTAACCCGATGAAGGTCGGCCTCATATTGACACAGCTTAGTTCGGGACTGAGAACATGCTTCTCGATGAACTGTCGCGGCCTGCAAAGAAAGAAGAAACGAAGTTAGAAAAGAAAAGCAAACATAAAGGTAATGCCCTATAATTTAAGGCTTACCTGATTCAAAGCCTGTTGCACTCCGTGAAAAAGATTCGATGCGACACTTATACCAGTAGCGTCCTCGACACCGATAAACAGGTCACGAAAAGGATCCTCTTCATCATGAGGCCTGTCTAATTCGAGGGCCCCCAAAGCTTGGGCTTCCCGAATCGCCCCTGTATAAAAAGCAGGGAAGGTGGGCGAGTCTTCGATTGCTACTGCCCCAAGTGAATCACTTGGAGCATTCTCTTCGGTTCGAAGAGATTCGGGGAGAGCCTCTTTAGACATATCCCCCATCCGTTGGCTTCAATGGGAAGCATCTTCAATCTCCAATAACTCGGGGACTCTGCCCAAATCTTTCTCCGATATATCCTCAGTTCGAGGCGGAGCCTTATGAACCACCATCTGTGGAACGTCGGTGGTCTTCTTCGTTTGGGCCAGCAGCGCGGACCCATCATTTTCTTCTTATTCTTCTTCTTCTTCTTCTTCTTCTTCTTCTTCTTCTTCCCTCAAACGCAGAACTGATTCTACGTTCAAAGGAATGATATTTTTGTTCGGCTTAAGAGCCGTCTTCTTCTTCAATTTTTGATCTTCGAGGACGGGGGCTCTTTTCCTCTTATTATCTTTCACCGGCTTTGGGACAGAGGCCGAAGCCTCTTCCTCGATGGACGAGGGCCTCAAAACCGCATCTTTGCCCACACCTATATATGGGAAATTTTATTAAAGTATATGGAAAGCATCTCGTTCGAACTACCAAAAAGTACGAGAAAGGGGCTTACCATGATTTTTGGCCTTCTATCGGCCCTTTGACAAATCACGCCATGAGCGCTCGACGTATGTGGATGTCAAAGCCAGAGCTCGTACCCAGTTTTTAAGATCGGGAACTGCTCCGGGCATCCAGGGAACCGCTGCATCACAAAAAGAGGAATATCGGTGAGAAGAGAAATGAAAGGGCAAAATAGAAGGAAGTAACAGCAGAATTACACTTACGTTTCATATTCCACTCCTCGGAAAAAGGCATGTTTTCAGTCGGAATCAGGTCCGAAGTCCTTACTCGAACAAACCTGCCCATCCAGCCTCGATCCCTATCCTCGTCAATGCTTGAGAATAGAGCCTTAGTATCCCGACACTGAAGTTTTATTAACCCTCCTCAAAAAAGGTGAGGACGGTACAATCGGATGAGATGGTCGAGGGTGAACAACATCCCCTCGATTTTGTTCACAAAATATCGAATCAAAATAATGATCAGCCAAAAAGAAGGATGGACCTGGCCTAGGGTTATTTGGTATTGACGGCAGAAGTCAATAATAATAGAGTCGAGGGGACCTAATGTGAAAGGGTAAGTATACACACTTAAAAACCCTTTCACGTAAGTGGTGATATCTTCGTTGGAAGAAGGGATTATTATTTCTTTATTCTCCCAATTACAATCTTTCTTTATCTGTTTGAGGTGCCTCTTGGTTATCGAACACATGTACCTCGATACTGGCTCATATCGGCCGGGAACCGATGAGCCTTTATCGACCTTAAAATCAGAGGTAGGAACACGCACCCCAGGAACGCACTCCTCAGGCCGTGGCTCTACCGGTATTTCGTCAGCGGTAGACTGTGAAGATGAATCTTTCTCTTTCTGAGGAATAGTTTGTGATATTTTCACCATTTTTGAATTTAAAGGTCGAGAATATAAGAAAGTGACAAAGATTTGGTAATTTTGAAGAAAGGGCTTTTGCAAAGAGGAATCACAGATTTACGAATAAACTCAGAGGATACGAAAAAAAAACTTGGAAAATTTGGAAGATTGAAGATGTAAAAGTGGTAAATAGTGATAGGAAGGGCTATTTATAGATTAAAACAATGGCGGTTCAATGTCAGCGGTGGCTGACCACCGTCTGACATGCATTAAATGCCTTGAAAAACTAAATCGACTGGACAACTATCACGTGCGTTATGATCGAGCCCAATGTGAACGTCACCTTATAATCCAATCGCGCTTTTAAGAAATCATATCGTTTCTCACCACATCCTTCCCGAGAAATGAGGGGACTATCTGTATATGGTCGAAACAGATTTCGGCCTTCGAACGATTGATCGGGGTCAAAACATAATGGACCAAAGAAAGACTTCGTAATATCGAGATGGGTTCCGAAGGTGGTACAAACAAGCTTCAGATTTCGGGTATAGATCAAACACCGAGTTCGAAGTCATTATCGAGCTCGGATCCGAATCGAACTATGATGAGATGATTTCGGGCTTAAGAGGCAGAGGCCAACTGGGATTGAGTCCGAATCATCACCTGATCCCGAGTCCATATCGAGTTCTAGAAGCAATACCAACCAGCACCGAGGCCGATCGAGCTCGAGCTCACAGACAAGAGCCGTTGCAAACACACTAAGGGAGAGAATCTCGGCGAAAATTAGGGAAAAGCTAATTTATCATGGGTTCTCCACTATGTATTTTTAGTTATATCTAAAGTAGGATCCTCCACTATAAAGGGGATGGCTACATTTATGTAGAAGGCAGTTTTTTGGCTTATATTATAATTCAAACACCATATTCTCCTATATTCAAGAGTTACTCTTTTAAGCTTCATAAATTGATTCATTTTGCTTAGTCCTAAAAATTATCTTTTTTGCAACCTTGTTTATTTTTCATTCTTTGCAATCCATATTTGATATTTCTATTTATCCTTATGATTTGTATTAAGCTATATCACATATCCTTAGAACTACGTACAAATTCAACTCCATCTGTTTTTCGGGTAAATAAGTATATTTAAAAGTTGGCTAAGGAATTTTCAGAAACCACTATTATTTAGTGGCTATTAGCTTCCTATAGCTACCATATATATAATTACTTCATATATCTACTATTTAGTTGTTACGCGACTGTATTCGCTGTATTCGCGCTGCTGTATTCATGAATAAAGTAGCGAAATTCGCCTAAAAAATAGGGGAGTCTAGCTGTGCAACTGTATTCGTGCTACTGTATTCATGAATACAGTAGCGAAATTTGCCTAAAAAAATAGGGGAATCCAGTTGTTTGATAACGGAAAGAGGATCAATTAGCATGTATTATTCCTAATTTAACTCAACAAAATTAATTCTACATAAATTTCGCTGATACGCGACTGTATTCGCGCTACTACTATGTTCATGAATACAGTAACGAAATTCGCCTAAAAAATAGGGGAATCCACCTGTTTAATAACGAAAAGAGGATCAATTAGCGTGTATCACTCCTAATTTAACTCAACAAAAGCAATTCTACATAAATTTCACTCCTACTGTGCTGTATTCCATGTATTCGCGTGACTCTATTTATAAATAGAGTGAGGTAATCAAGAAATTTGGTGTATACCGTTCTATTCAATTCGATTGTATACATTATAGTCAATTCACAGATATTTATTATTCACTATTATGCATTATATTCAATTCACCGTATTGAAACAACAAAAAATCACAAAACACAGTGATATTCGGCTGTATTCAAAAAAATACAGACCTTCAAAATACATAAATACATGCGAAAAAAATAATGTATTTATTCAAAATATAACGTATTTGAGTGTATTTGTATCATTGTATGTGATTAAAATAGCAAAGAAGAGAAGAAAATTCACCGGAGATGGCATTTTTCGAACAAACAAAATACTGTATACATTGTATTAAAATTAAAAATGGAGACGAACAAAACCCCGGCCCTCAAATCTTCTCCGGCGAAGCCATGGCCAGATCTGTTCCCCTAAGAGGATGAGCCAATAGTGGATGATGACGATTCTGACACTGACGACGATCACTATGATGATGCCGACGATTCTGCTGATTTGATGGAGAAAGAGAGATGATTAAGAATCTTGCTGATAGAGATAGAAGGAAGAGAGAGAGAAAGAATATAATTGGCGTATTTTATGCCTCAATGGTAGATATAAATAAATATCTATTTTGCTATAAAATAGAAAAGGTAGTTATAAGTAATAATATTTTGAAATTATTTTGGTTTATAATAAATAGGGTGTAATAGTTTGATTCTTTGGTAAAATTTTCTAACTTTAATTGCTAGGCCCAAAGTGGCTACGCCAGCAAATTTAACCAAACTAACCTCAATCCAAGTCCAATTAAGAAATGACCAGCATACCGGGCAACTCTATAGAGTTATATCCAAATCGCAGCCTCGTCGATTTTCTGAATCAGAGACCAGCAAAAGGTACCGTATCATACTCTATGCTCTCTCAGTCTCATCTGCTCCATAGATGAATCACATTCCAGTTTTCGAATCTAGAATTTACCTTCAGTGAATTTATAGATAATGTTAAATCTAATTAATCAATCAATCAACATGTCTTAATCCAAAATTAAGTTGAGCCTTAGCTGTATGAATTACATATATTCAATTCGTTTATTCGAACTAATTTTAGGTATATATCTATTTATATTTTAAGTTTATACCTATAGATATGGTTGGAGTTTAATGCAGTGGGATTTGGACTGCACTGTGCCCTAGCTTAGATTGCTTTTGATCCTACCTGGTGTTTGATTTGGGATTTTTAATTTTCTTATAATGGAGAAATTCGAGGGCCAATGATGCATGGTTTAAAACTCGGTGGATGATGGGCCTGCCCCTCTACCCTTCTCCACTTAAATACCATACAATGCTTTTGTTTGCTGCAGAGTTGATTTGGGATTTTTAATTGAAAACAGTTTTCATAGGGACAAGAAAAGGATGGGATTCATAATGGAATTTGCGGAGAACTTGATATTGAGATTAATGGAGGATCCAGTGGAGAGGGATAGGAAGTTTAGGGAGCACGTGTATGCCACGAAAGAGAGGACCAAGAAGACATTGGAGATGTGGAGCTATCCAATGCGTCCCTATGGTTTCTGGACATTTGATAGGCACAACGCTCAGTTATTTTGGGACCCTCAAATCAGCCAAGTCCCCGGCCGTCGTGATCCGTATGATGACCTCCTTCAGGACGGTTCTTCCTCCTCCTCCACCTAAGCTGCCTCCTTCGTCAACTGACTTTGGTGAGCTTTTGATTCGTTACCTGTTGCAGCTTTTTTCTTATGGTATCCTGGCTTTGGGAATATGTTTAAATACAGAACTTCATGATTGAGCAATTTTAATTGATATTTTCAACAGTTTTTTGGCACATTTGTGTGAAGGTTATGCTAATCTGATATATGGTAATATATTTCTTGTTATAACAAGTACTATATATATATATACATGCACACACATACACACGCACACATTATATTTAAAAAGTTCAGAAATTTCTCACTTTAATATGTAAAGTGAAACGGAGAAGAAGATGTGCGCATGAAATTCTGGAGGAAATTAGGAACTGTGGTCTGCTATAAAATTGTAGGAGGGAAATAGAAGGTTTGTGTTGAGATGCACAAAGATAATAAAGGGAAACGGGGAAAAAGATGCAATAACGAACAAAGTATGCATTGACCGGTGGATTGTTTAAAATTTTATGCTATATTAAATATCTTGAGAAAATCAACAATATAAATATTAAACTGGCTTTGAGATAGAAAGATAAGTAATATAGTCGGTTTAGCCTTCTTGAGCCACATTACCTCTGACTCTACAAGGACCTGTCCTCTTGAGCGGGAGGTATAGGAGGAAGGACTGACGAACTTCTTACTTGTGTTTGGTTAACTTCCTTACTGAACTCACAAGTAAGCTAATCCGGCCTATATTAGTTTTCTATCTCAAGCTTGCTTGAGTAAATTGTTTATCTTTCAAAAATTTTAATAGAATATAAATTATCCATTTTTGCATCTTACCTCAAACAAACTGTGTTCCTCATTGTATCATTTTTCCAATTTTTCGCTACCATCTTCTTGCAGGATGAGACTAGCTCCAGTAAATAAATGTCCAGTAATATCCAATGGCCCATTTGAATCTCGCTAGTTCTCCAGGGAATACCTAATGGCTTGGATGTACTCGAGCTTTGGGGTAGTCCAAGGTAGAAAAGTTAAAAAGAAAATATTAACCAGTTAAATTTTGGCTGCAACCAGTAGACTTTCGCCATCTCCAACCACTTTACAGCTGTAAAACAATGAAGAGATACCTTGTACTCTAACATAGATCCTTCAAACATATGAAATAAAAGGGAGAAGAAGCTTAATTTCTTCTTGAGTCTTCTGCCCAGTAATATGTCACAAGTTTAAATAAGTAATATGGCCCATACATACCATCTTTAACTAATTAAACGGTAATACAATAACTAACTTATTTGTTTTCAGATTAGCACTATCGTGTAAGAAAAAGGCTATATCATCTAATTTGAATGGATGAGTAGCACTTCTATGCATGCTTAAGCAAATTCAATTATTTATTTTATGAAGTAAGGGTGTTTTATTAATCGCATCAACCAGATGCATAAGCAAAAATTAGAAGAAGAAGATTAAGTCTGCTCATGTACAAAAGAATAGGCTATAACTAGATAGCTGACACAATCCAAAAAATGTTCAATACTAGTTATAAGGCTTGATTTAACTAATTAAACAGATTAAGTAAGCATTTGGATTTTAGAGAGCGACTTGGATCGGAGTTGAGATTCTATCGCAGCATACTTTCTGTCCAAATGCATAAAAAAAAAAAACTAGATTTTCTTGATGGCTTTTTCTATTCTCCATGAACACCAACTGTCATAGGCATACTTTATTCTGTTAGGCATGACTCGAGCTAGTCCAAAATTTGAGAAAACCATGCTCCAAAGATGTGCCGCAACTGTACAGTGGAGGAGCAGTTGTTTGACACTTTCAGAATTAGGTTGACACATATGGCACCTATTCACGTCTGGATACTTCTCCTGCTAAGGTTGTCCTGTGTTAGGCATGCTTCATAAAAGCTGTTCAACTGAAGCATATCGCTTTTTTAGCAGTTTAGTCCTCCAGATGAGCTTTCATGGCCATATGTCCATCATCTATTTGCTTGAGCAAAAATGTGTATACCCTTTTTTTTTTATAAGAGTATGTCCCCTCCCTTGAGCTTCTACATATCAATCTGTCCCTTTCCTGTGAGTTGAGTAAAGCATTCAGTCCCCAGTCCTGAATGTTTCTTCTTAGATGCAAACTTTATGTGTTATGCTCTCTGTTCTGAGCGTAGTACAGTCGCTTATAGAAAAAGGCTTGGATATTCATCTTTCAATGTGAGACTGCCCATCCACTTGTCCTTCCAAAATGATACGTGCGCTCCATTCCCTACCTTGAAGCAAGGCAAACCAACTATTGTTATAACACAACCAATAGACATACAGAATGAGAATTATCACATTATTTTAATCTGGGTTGATTAATCAGTTAATCTTGATTTCCTCTCGATTTCCTTAGTTTCCCCAAACCCAAAAAAGAGAAACAAAAAAAGAATTGAGGAAATGCTGTGCATCCACAAACCGATAAGACCATATAGACACAGAAGGGGAAAACAAATTATGTTCATATCCACAAACCATTACGACCACAATGGTCTTAAAGTCTTAGCACACTTTATGTTCTTGAAATTAAGTAAACATTCAATGAGAAACCAAATTGACATAAATCAAATCAAAACGCATTAATGTCCTGAAACTTTTGTGCTCCTTGATTTCGGGGAAGGCTTGACTGCCAAAAGCATATTTTCTCAATACAACAGTGGTTAAATTACTTTATATAACACGAACCTGATAATAAAAAAGAGAATAAGAATTTTGCATATGTAGAAGAGCATTATAAAACAAAAGTTTCTACACAGATAATACAAATAAAGTTAATTGAAAAAAGAATTATACACTCGACAAAGCATTTCTTTACATAAAAGGAGTTGCATTATATTACCTTCAGCTATTGAGTAAAGTTGAGATATGCAATCAAAATAGAAAATAACTTTGAATGATGGGATAAGCTAGCATAGGACATACTTTGAGCGGCACTTAAATCAGAGTAAAAGATGATTTCCTTTGACGTTGAATTCTATCAATAAAATAAATGAAATTTAATTGCTTATAGATTAATGAAGTTAGGCTATTTTGAGATATTCTACTCATGGACCTAAAAATAATAGATGATGTCCTTGATTGAAATAATTGACATTATCAAATGGAGCTTTATCATTAGTCATTGTAGATTCATTTTTGTTAACATAACTTTACTTCTTTCCTCGAGCTTTCTTGCACTTCGGAAACATCTCAAGAGAACTTTTTGTCCTCCTTTTTATACGACCTAGCCCATCTTTCTTTTTCAAACTTTTGGCTTGTGTGATAACATCTTTATCACTGTTTTTCTTGGAATGCCTCTTATTGAACTACTACCACAAATAGATGGAGGTGTCACCTCATGCTTTGTTTCAATTTTGAACTTTGCTCATTTGCACATGTTACTGCTAGCATATAGCCTTCATCCACTTCAGAAGCTTTTGCCTCTATTCTAAGTTCTAACAAATAGAGGACAAATAATTTTGTAACAATTTATATTGGTCAACTTCAAATAATTTTCATGAAGATTATATTCATCAAACATAGTATTCCAAGCATCTATAACTTTTTTCTCATCCACATACTCATACATGCACTTTCTAAAATCACCATGAAAAGAGGCATACCTTTTATATATTTGGTTGAGGTGTTTAGTTGCATTTTTCTCTATGTGCTAGATACACAACCCGTGATGAACTTGAGGCATGACAACTGAAATAGCCTTACTCATTGCAACTTCTTGATCTTTACAAATTGTTTGTGTTTTTTTTTTCCAGACATCGCCGTAAGAAACGTATCAAACAATCATTTAAATTATTCACAAGTCTCAGGGTCCTTTTCATTTTGCACCCCTAATGTGTGCTCTTTTTTTATTTTATTTTAATTTGCACCCTATCCTTTTTTTTTTAATGATTTGCACCCTAGTCTATTTATCTCCTTGTAAAACTATAAAAATACTTTTCTTTAATATTTTTCGCAAGGGCAAAGTAAGCAAAATACAAATAAGAGAAAAAAAAAGCATGCCACATAAAATAAATGAACTCAAATATGAATAAAAGGACTTTATCTCGTTTTCCAGAAAACTAAACTATCACGGTAAGCTCAAATTTTAGTCAAAGAGTATGTGTCGTGTCCTCTTGACTCTTGTTGAGCCTAATGGTTAGACAAACACAGTGTCTGTGGTTCCTGTGTGTTTTTAATTGGCTCTCTAAGATTATGAGCCCTCTTTGTTTTGGAGTGGAAACAGGAGATGGCTATGTTTAGTTAGGTATTGGTGTCGGAAGTTTCTGTTCGGAACTCAAATTATATCTCTCTTTTAAATGGAATGGGGGTAGTTCTTTGTGATGTTTCTTTAAAGAATGGGTATATATATTTTGTCATGTGATAATTTACTCTGAATTTCTAAAGCTTTCAGTTCTCCTTCTTCATTCAATCATTCTGTCTATCCTTGATATTAAGCTGATGATTTGGTGATGTTGCAAGTGTTATATTGCCTCCGTTAAATTTACTCATGGAAAGCTCAAACCTAATTTTATTCAGGCTAAGATGGTAGATGGCTGAGAGAGCTTTGAGCCAATTTAGCTTCCTACATACAAAGATATACTCCCTCCGTTTCAATTTATGTGAACCCATTTGACTGGGCATGGAGTTTAAGAAAAGAGAGAAGACTTTTGAATTTGTGGTGTAAAATGTGCCAAATGAGGCACATATATTTTGTGTGGCTATAAATCATTGCATAGAGGTAAATTGTTTCCAAATAGGTTAATGGGTCATTCTTTTTTGGCACGGACTAAAAAGGAAATAGGTTCACATAAATTGAAACGGAAGGAGTATATTTTTTTTGATTAAAATCAAAATTGTATTAATCAAAAATAAATCTGTTCAAAGCCAAGTAGTTGCTGACCAACTACTATCCAAAATATGAGTCTAGTCCTAGATTACACATTTCATCCATGCCTACTACAAATCTAGGAATTGCTTAAAAAACGGAAACAGGAACTAAGCAAATCAATCTAAACTGTGTAATGTCTGCTGCCATGATGGATGCAGAACGTGAAG